ACATGCAGGCACACACTCATGTGCACTGGGTCACATGCTGACACACACAGGCACACACTCAGGCACACTGGGGCACATGCTGACACACACGGGCACACACTCATGTGCACTGGGTCACATGCTGACACACACAGGCACACACTCAGGCACACTGGGGCACATGCTGACACACAGGCACACACTCAGGCACACTGGGGCACATGCTGACACACAGGCACACACTCAGGCACACTGGGGCACATGCTGACACACACGGGCACACACTCATGTGCACTGGGTCACATGCTGACACACACAGGCACACACTCAGGCACACTGGGGCACATGCTGACACACAGGCACACACTCAGGCACACTGGGGCACAAGGCTGACATGCAGGCACACACTCATGTGCACTGGGTCACAGGGCTGACATGCAGGCACACACTCATGCACACCGGGGCACATACTGACACACACACAAGTTGACATGCAACCTCAGGGTGGGGTCGAGCCGGTCCAGACCTCCTGACTCCCAGTGCAGCCGTCGGCCTGCCCCATCTCTCCATCTGTCTGTCCTGGGAGTGAAGGGGACGGTGGGGGAGGGGAAGGACAAGCAGGACGAGAGGCAAATGCTGACAGGCCCACAAACCCTTCATCTCCAGTTCCTCTCCCTTCCCGAGGGCCACTGAGGAAGCTGAGGCTCCATGAAGTGAGGGCACCTGCCGGAGGCCACAAGCAGCAAGTGGCAGATCTTGGTGGGCAGAGGGCGGGGTGTCCCTGAGGACAGAGGGGGCACAGGATGACAGGAAGTGGCTCGGGGAGCCTCCCCCAACATGAGGGCCTAGACCTGCAGAGAGGAGCCGTGGTGGGTGCTGCGGTGGTGTGGGCGGCAGCTGCAGAGTCTGGTAGGGGAACCACAGGGCCCAGCCCCGGCCCCCACTCCCACTCCTGGACGCCTCCAGCAGGGACCGCTTAGCCGGGCACAGTGGCCTTCTGCGGCAGGCGGGGACAGCTGTGACATGGGGAGAATAATCACTGGGAGGCTTGACTGTGTAGCAAAATGGCCAAGCGCTTGCCTCTGGAGCTCTGCCCCTGGGGGGTTCGAATCTCAGCTCTGCAGCAGGATCTTGAGCAGAGACTTGGTCTCCTCATCTGTGAAATGGGCTTAATAACGATCTCCTCCTCACAGGTGGAATTAATAAGTGATTATTATTTAAAACCCTCTAGAACAGTGGTTCTCAACCTGTGGGTCGCAACCCCTTTGGGGGTCGAACAACCCTTTCACAGGGGTCGCCTAAGACCATCCGAAAACACATATATAATTACATATTGTTTTTGTGATTCATCACTATGCTTTAATTATGTTCAGTTTGTAACAATGAACATAATTGCCCCGGTGTGCATGAGTGTGTGCCTGCATGTCAGCCTTGTGACCCAGTGTGTCTGAGTGTGTGCCTGCGTATCAGATATTTACATTATGATTCATAACAGTAGCAAAATTACAGTTTATGAAGTAGCAACGAAAATAATTTTATGGTTGGGGGTCACCACAACATGAACTGTATTAAAGGGTCGCGGCATTAGGAAGGTTGAGAACCACTGCCCTAGAATATTGCCTGGCAAATGAAAGATGAAATGCTTAGCCCAGTGCCAGGCAGGAAGCAGGCCAAGGATGCACCGAGGGGGAGGGCGGCAGGACAGCCCAGGGAGTGGCCAGCCACTGTCCGGGGTCTGATCATGGAGGAGCCTCGCATGCTGGGTTGGGCAACTCAGGGAAAACCTGGGGGTGCGGAGCCGCTAAGATTTCTGAGAAAGGAAGGTAAAGATCTGGGGGAAATGGGGCCGAAATGCTTAGCCCAGTGCCAGGCAGGAAGCAGGCCAAGGATGCACCGAAGGGGAGGGCGGCAGGACAGCCCGGGGAGTGGCCAGCCACTGTCCGGGGTCTGATCATGGAGGAGCCTCGCATGCTGGGTCAGGCAGCTCAGGGAAAACCTGGGGGTGCGGAGCTGCTAAGATTTCTGAGAAAGGAAGGAAAAGATCTGGGGGAAATGGAGCCTGCTAGGAGCTAGGGGCTCAGGGGGGGAAAGCACCCAAGGCCCTACTCTTCGGGGGGGAGCATCGAAGCCCAGAGGAGGAGGAAGAGGAGGAGGAGGAGGAGGAGGACTGACTCTGCTTTGGCCTCTTGCAGGAGGCCGCGTGAAGACGTGGAAGCGGCGCTGGTTCATCCTGACCGACAGCTGCCTCTACTACTTCGAGTTCACCACTGTGAGCCCGCCCTGCCCCTGCCCCGCACCCCTCTGCACCTCCACAAAGCAGTCCCCTCACAGAGCTGGGGCCCTTTGAGATCACACAATCCACCTCTGCACCCATTTTACAGATGAGGAAAACTGAGCTACAAAGAGGAGGAGGGGCTGGGCCAAGGGCCAAGGCATTAAAGTTGGGTCTCCTAACTCCCAGCCAGGGCTCTCTCTGTGCTGCTCCCCCTTCAGGGCTGAACAGAGTCTGGGAAGATAGGGGTCCTCCCCTTGGTTTTAGGGAGCCCCACCACCTCACTCCCCTGTCCACACCTCAAGGCTCCAGTTGCTGATCGTGACCTCCCCTCTGGTTCCCCTGCAGGACAAGGAGCCTCGAGGAATCATACCCCTTGAGAACCTGTCAGTGCAGAAGGTGGAGGACCCCAAGAAGCCGGTAGGTGTCAGAGTGGGGACCTGGGAGGCTGGAAGGGCTGGTGGGAGGAGAGGGTGGTTGGGCTGGGTTCTCCAGCAGGCTAGGCCAGACCCCGCCCACCTTGGGGAGGGTTGGGGAGGGGCTCAGGGCTGCCTCCATCTCCCTCCTGGGGCCATGGACCCTTCCCCTGCCCCTCTGCCTCTCAGGAAGCAGGCCTGGGGCCAGGTGTGTGCTGCTGCTTGTCCAAGCGGGTCTTACCCAAGAGCCTAGTCCTCTCTGACCTCCTGGAGAGTCCAGCCCAGCCCCCCTCTCCTCCCAGCCCTGCCCTCACCTGGCTGCCTCCCCACAGTTCTGCCTGGAGCTCTACAACCCCAGTTGCCGGGGCCAGAAGATAAAAGCCTGCAAGACGGATGGTGACGGCAAGGTGGTGGAGGGCAAGCATCAGTCTTACCGGATCTCGGCCTCCAGCGCCGAGGAGCGGGACCAGTGGATCGAGGCCATACGGTAAGGGACGCCCAGCTGCTGGGGATGGGCTTCCTGTCACTTCCCAGAAGCCCCTGCTTCTTTCGGGCCTTCTTTCCTGTCTGCAAAGGAGGACAACTCCAGAATCTCCCTCCTGCCTCTGGCATGCAGCTCCCTCCCACCCGTACTCTGCGCACTTCTCTAGGCCAGCACAGTGCCAGGCGCCAGGACACAGGGGGGTGCGGCACCAGCTCCATGGGCTGGCGGGAGGCGCAGAGGAGAGGTTGCATGTCAAGCTCTTTGCCCAGCACCTGACATTGGTCGGAGCTCGGGAAGGCGCTGTAGTTAGCGTCAGGATCCTAAGTGGCCCTGGGAAGACCTGGTAGAGATGGAGGGACAGGTGTTCCCGGTGGGAGGACCCGTGTGGGCAAAGATGAGAGAGCAGGTCAGTGTGTGGCACAGTCCTGGCGGCTGGTACTGGGCAGCCTGAGGCCTGACTGTGCGGGGACGGGGCACTGTGGGGGCTGAGCAGTGAGAGATGAGGCAGCAGAGGATGGCAAGGCCTTGGCTGCCATGGCAACGAGCTTGGATTTCTCGGGGGGCCCTGGGGAGCCACAGGCTGGTAAATAGAGAAGGGGTGTGGCCAGGTGAGAAAGGCTACGGTGTAGGGGCAGTGGAGGGACAGGCCATGGAGAGGCAGGGCCAGGTGAGGGGCAGGATAACAACCTTGACTCTGAGCCCTGGGGAGATGCGGGAAGGGCCAGAGGAAGACAGGACCAGTGTCTGGACCGGGGCCATGTCCCGGGAGCTTGAAGGGTCTTTTCCCTCAAGCTTGGCAGCAGCTCTATTAGGCTGCCAGTTCAAATCCATTCTCACCTCCACTTTACAGATGAGGAAACTGAGGCCCAGAGGGGAGGGGCTTGCCCAGGGCCACCCTGCCAGTGAGGGACAGAGCCAGGCCAGCAAGCAGGTCTGACTCCATCCAGGATCTTTCCACCTCCTTCCGAGAGTCTGATGGAGCCTGCAGAGGGGCACAGGGACATTTGGGGGGCAGACTTCCCCAGGCTTTCAGTTCTCAGCCTCCTCTTTCCAGCCCTGATCATGGGCCTCTGGGTTAGGCCAGCAAGGCCAGACACGGCCAGCCTGGTCCCGGGTCCTGGTTGGGGTCATCTGGCCTTTCCCTGCGAAACCCACGCCCCTATCACAAGCCCTGGGAGATAGGACGCCTTGATGCTGGCTCAGCCCCCCACTCTTTCACCTGCTCCCCTTCCAGGGCCAGCATCACCCGTGTCCCCTTCTACGACCTGGTCTCTGCTCGGAAGAAGAAGATTGCCAGCAAGCACTGAGCTCCTGGGAGGGGTGCTGGGCCAGGCGTCCCAGAACCCCATGACTATGGTACCTGGAGACCCTCCCAGTCCAGGGCACCTTTCCTGGCCTGCAGACATCCTCCCCTCCCCCGTTACTTGGAGCTGACAGGACGGGGAGGCAGAGCTCAGGAAGGTGGGTGGGAACAGCTGAGGGCCCCGAATGGCAATGAGGCCCCTCGGCACCCAGCTGCTGCCAGGAGAGGCCTGAGGAAGCAGGCGAAGAGAAACCAGCCCCCCGTCCTCTCTCTGGGCCTCAGTTTCTTCTTCTGTGACTGTCTCCTCGCACGCTGAAATGCCGTCAGGCCTCACGGCAGGAGGGCCATTAGAGGCCTGAGGAAGCAGGCGAAGAGAAACCAGCCCCCGTCCTCTCTCTGGGCCTCAGTTTCCTCTTCTGTGACTGTCTCCTCGCATTCTGAAATGCCGTCAGGCCTCACGGCAGGAGGGCCGTGGGGTTCCTAAGCTCCATCTCCAGGGCACTGTGTGCCTTCTGCCCAGGGCTCACTCCTCCTCCGGTTCTTGGAAAACTGAGGGATGTCTTGGCCCCTCTGGTCTCTGTGCTCCCCACCATTGCACCCGGTGAGGGGCGCCTCAGCCCCAGTGCAGGCCCCAGCAGTCAGCCCCTGGCTGCCTCCCTCCTCTCGAGCTGCTTCCTCCAGGCAGACGGATGGGATTGCACCAGGTCTCCCTAAGGAGCTTCCAGCTGGAGATGTCTGCACTTGTTTACTGAGCTGGAGGGGACTCTGGACCGGAAGCTGCGGGGGAGCCCAGAGCCGAGTGGGCTCCACCCTCGGGATGTCCATTTCAGGGGAGGCGCCGGCGGGACCCCTCAAGAAAATGGCGCAGAACATCCCAGACAGACGTACTCGAGCAGGACTGGTGGTACAACCAAGAAGCCAAGAAGAGAGAGCTTGTGAGTGTGGATTCCAGGAAGGCTGCCTGGAGGCAGCGGCCAAGTCGATGAGTGACACAGAAGCTCATGGCAGAGTCTCAGCCAGGCTTCCCTGCGAGACCCCTGAGCAGGTTCCCGTGCTGGTGAGGGGCAGCCCAGCTGGGCCCCGCATCCCGAGACCCTCTGCAGCAGCACCGCGGAGAGCCGAGCCGACTTCCCAGCAACTAACAGGCTCTCTGTCTCCAGGGAGGCCCCAGCCTGGAGGAGGATTCCTCCCTCAAGCAGGCTTCTTCTCAGAGGCACTTCTCACCCCCTCACCAGGTCCTGGGGGAGCCCCTGGAGGGAAGTTCCCTGAAGGAAGCAGCATATGGGGTTGTCTGTGCCCCACTGCCAGCCTGAGTGGGCGAGCAGGAGCTCGGGGGTTCCCCAGGGGAGGGGAAGCCACCTCTCTTCTCCCCACCGCCACACCTCCCCGGCATCAGGACGGAGCGGCTGCCTGGTGGAGGGAGACTCCCCATCTCTGGGAGTGTGCAAATGCCTGCTATGAGATGGCACCGAGGAGGCGCTGGGCTGGGCAGCTGCAGGAGGCGGCCTTGCAGGACATATCAGGACTTCCCAGACCCCGGGTCAGCCAGGGAGCTGACCTCCACCTCTGCCACCTCACTGGCCCATGAAGGGGCAGCCAGGGGTCATGGGAGGAGCACTGGGGGTCACGGGGTCTGAGGTCCTCTCCTGCCACTGCCATCCGCTCGCTGGCTGTGTGATCTTAGTCCACTCCCGTCCCCTCGGTCCTCAGTGCCTCCCCTCACTGAGGGGGAACCAGTGACTATCTGGGCACGAGGAGCATGAATCACTGAGATGAGATAATAAAAGTCATGATCCACCTCAGGAGTGGGGCCTGTCCTCTCTCTGTGACCACTTCTGCCGTCTTTGACCCAATCCTGGCCCTTCACCTTCATCACCTCCCCAGCTGAGGGCAGGAGGGCCAGGCAGGGAAGAGTGGGCACTAAGGGGGGGCCTGGACCCTCACCCTCAGGACACGTGAGGCTGCCACACTGGACAGACATCCCCGAGGGCCGGATGAGCCACAGGGCTCTCTCAGAGCAGGGGTGGGGCAAGCTGGTTCTGCCCAGGCTGGGGAAAGGCGGAAGAACTTCCCAGAGGCAGTGCTGTCCAAAGGGAAAGAGCTGCTGCCTGGGGAGAGAGGTGATGAGCTCCCTGTCTGTGGAGGGATGCAAGCACAGCTGGCTCTCATGACCCTGTGGGGTGTTATAGAAGAGCTTGAAGGTGGTGACCTTCCTTTACTTGTACTTCTCACAATATTTATTAAATTCCTCCAGGGTCCCTGGCGCTGTTCCAGGCACTGGTGAACCCCTGCCCACTGGGGCTTACATTCTAGTGGTTCTGGAGTCTAACGCCCTAGGCAGCCCCCTCCAGATGTGTAGGGTACCCAGGTGGCTCCCAGCCCCCTCTCTGAAATTCTACCGGTGAGTCGCTGCACTGATCAACTTACCCACATATGCATTCATTTGGCCCCTGCTTATTGAGTAGCTACTGTGTATCAGGCTCCACACGCAGAGCCAGGGATGCAGGGATGACCAAGACAAAGCCCTTGACCTCTAAGGAGCTCAGATCAGGTGGGGAGACAGGTGCGAAAGAGCAGGGACAGCCTAGGCCGACCTGTGCTGTTCTGGGGAGCACAGGGGCCAGTGGAGGCTGGGCTGGGCTGAGGGGCAATCTGGGGAGGCTTCTCGGAGGAGCTGTGCTTGAGTGTGGGCAGCCAGGTGGGGGAAAGCACACATACCTGAGAATGCAGTGAGCTCACCTCATGTCTGTTTCCCAAACCACACACACACACACACACACACACACAGACCATGAATGCCTCACAGGCCAGACGGTCCCTGCTCAGTGCCTAGGACACAGTAGGTGCAAAATAATTGTTGGTTAGACTGAAGTCAACTGAGAAGTCAGCATCAGCAGGTGCAAATATCTGGAAGCACAGAGAACTGTGGGAAGGGGTGTGCTGCCAGGGGTTGGGGGAATGACCAGAAAGGGGGGGGCAGGGCCACATCACAATCCAGGAGGGAGAGGGGGGCTTGACTCCCTGGCACAGGCCCCCTTGCTCCTCCCCTGGGCAGCTTCTGTCCACCTTCCCACCATTCTGCCACTCCTCACTCCGGACAGCAGGGGGCTCCCACCACACATGGATGAGAGGTTTCCAGGCTGCAGTCCCAAGGCCCAGACCGCCTCCCCTGCAGGCATGAGCCTCCGCCAGAGCAGAGACT